AGCCTGAAGCAGAAAACAGAGAATGGACCTCTGAGGATCCTGAAGATACGGAACCCCACTCTGGATTGGGCTCAGTCGCAACTCAAGATGAGGAGCCTGAAGCAAAAAACAGAGAATGGACCTCTGAGGATCCTGAAGATACGGAACTCCATTCTGGATGGGGCTCAGTCGTAACTCAAGATGAGGAGCCTGACGCAGAAAACAGAGAATGGATATATGAAGATCCTGAAGATACGGAACTCTTCTCTGGACGGGGCTCAGTCGTAACTCAAGATGAGGAGCCTGCAGCAGAAAACAGAGAATGGGGCTCTGAAGATCCTGAAGATATGGAACTCCGTTCTGGATGGAGCTCAGTCACAACTCATAATGTGGAGCCTGAAACAGAAAACAGAGAATGGAGCACTGAAGATCCTGAAGATACGGGACTTTATTCTAGATGGGGCTTAGTCGCAACTCAGGATAAGGAGCCTGAAGCAGAAACAGGTAATATAGAATGGAGCTCTGAAAATCTCAAAGACGCGGGACTTGATTCTGAGACAAAGCTTGATAAAAGGGATACTGGAAATCCTGAAGATAAGGAACCGGAATCGAGAACTGAGGAACCAAACCGGAGCTTTGGAACAGCTCAAAATATGGAAGAGGAACTGCAAAAGCAGGCAGATTTACAAACCTCAGTGAGATCTGATAGGTCATCGGTTGATGATCCAGCATCAAAGTATGCTGGTGTGTCTGAGGACAAGATGCATTTGAACCCGAAGCAGTTTTCCATAAAAGGTCTAAAAGGAAAATCAGCGCTCAGTTCATCTGCAGACGGAGATACCATATTCATCATACAATTTCCATCCCAAGGAAAAACAACTGCACCACTAAGGAATGAGAAAAAGGACGAAGTAAAATTGTCATCGCCTAATGGTAAAGTCTTGAATCTTAATTCAGTTATTCAGTTGAATTCAGTCGACGATGGTGATGGCCACGCAAAAATGATGGAAGAGAAAAAACCTGAGGAAAAAAGTTGGATTTCTGTCGCTGAAGCTGTTGTTGGCTTTTCCTTCACAATGATTGTACTTTTTGTTGCCTTTGTCCTATTTGCATGGTAAGCTATGTTTTTATGTAAGTGTTACTGCGCTAACGTTTGGTATTAGTAGGATTTTGGCAGGCATATGTAAGATGTTAGTTCTCATCTGCCGAATAACTCTCTCCGCTGGTCATAAACAAATTGTGAGAGACACAATGGCTTAACCCTTTAACCCCTAGGATTGACCAGCTTCCAATTTCTCCTTACATTGTCACCCGTGAATCAAACATTGAGATCACAAGAATGAAGGAAACTATCATCACCTTGTAAAACTCTTGATTTTTAAACAAATTCTCCTTGTCAGCACTTCAGGAAATGCACAGAGAACAGTATGGAGAATATGCATACTGATGTTAGGGTGTAAAGGGTTAATGGTGAGCATGCAGGACTGCGAGATAAGGAGGTCTGGATTTAAGCCATGGATTGATAGGTCATTGATTTGTTCTTGTTGTTGCCTCCGGAATGTGAAGATTGTCCATCACCGCATACCTTTTTGAACAAGAGGAATTTGCAAAATAAAGGCAAATGAAGTCGTTTGTTACAAAGACCTGCCGGACGGTCTAAACCTAAACACATCAATTTGATTGTCAGCTCAAAAGTGAAAAGTAACATCTTGCAAATCTTGATCTTCCTATAATCCCTTGTTTAGGACATGATTGATGTCAATCTTGATGCTTATCTCATCTGGGCTTGTCACAACAGTCCTAAACTGACCTTGCAATCTGTTACCATTATTGTCATTTAAGCTAATTGACATTACAAATTAAACTCTTCATATCACTTTCTCTACAAAGGCCAGTACGAAAGTATTACGCACGTTTATCCAAGCGCACTAGGAATAACCACCGTTTTGAGCGAGGAGGACAATATGAGGAAGATGCACTGACAAGTATCACAGTTGACAAGGGTCATCCATGGAATCCTCCAGTTCAGCGGACAACCAACCACCCAGCACCAACAAGCTATCAAGTGCCAGGTATTCTATATGAGGAAGATGCACTGACAAGTATCAGAGTTGACAACGGTCATCTATGGAATCCTCCAGTTCAGTGGACAACCAACCACCCAGCACCAATAAGCTATCAAGTGCCAGGTATTCACCAAGATCAATCGTCATCGTTGAGTTCATTTTTAGACCCAAAATAATTATACGATCCTGAGACTTAACAGAGTTAATTTTTCTTCTAAAAATTTTCGAAATGTGGATAAAGGAAAATGATAGAGTCGCACCAATGTAACAAACCAGGTGGCATGAATGGGGAACTTTATACCCAAAGCACCCCACTTAGCCTGAAATGGGAGGGGATTTGAAGTTTTATATCTATATTTCCAAATGGGGGCTCAAAAGGGAAAGCTGAGAGCTTAAATGAGAGCTTTGGGTTACGAAATCAATTTTTCGCCTTTTGCTGTCTCTCGCAGAAAGTACTAAGGTTCAAAGGGAACGCATGTCCGCCTATATCGAATGGAGGACATGGGCAGATGTTGCCGCTGATGACAAAAAGAGAGATCGAAGAAATGCAGAGAGGAGAAAGATTATCAAGAAACAGACTACCGGAAAAAATGACTCCTTCGCGAACCGCATAAAAATTGCCAAAGTGATCATTGATGCACATGCAAAGAACAAGAAAAAAGAGAAGAAGGCATCTCGAAACCGACGTATTATCAAGCACTGCACTTCTGAAGTTGACAACAGACGAAGAATGTCCCTTACACAACAGCTTGAAACTGCTCGATCGATAATTGCCCCTGATACGAGTCAACAAGAGGGCCTGGAACGATCAAAGAATAAGAGCCGCTTGATTAAGGATCAGCTGGCTGGAAAAAGAAGGCCATCATTCTCAGAGGAAATCGAAGTTGGAAAGAAGGTGATTGTGGACAGTGAGAAGAGGTTTAGAGTACCACCAGCCGTTGCTCAGGAGGTAAGTTGTTTTCATTTTATACATATTTCCCTTATGGTATAAAACACTGTCAGGCAGGTAATTGCGCGCAACTTAGTTTACATATATGTGAACGTTACTATATAGAACAAAAAAAAATAGTTTATTTTATCTGCAAGCCAAACAGACAAGCAAATCGAAAGAAAATGAAACCAATTCACAATCAGAGCTACATTTGATGTAAGATCACTCTTTATTCTATGTACTAACCGTTGTGATGATGTGTTTCCCGTGGTCAAACAGATGCTTGGCGTGCAAGTGCCTCTTGCCAGAAAAAGGAGTTACACCTACTCCGAGATTCTTGACGATCTGATTAAAACAGATGGAGGGCAGTCGGAAATATCTGGTGTCAAAGCTAGTGATGGTCAAGACAGAGATGGGCTGGCCAGGTGACTGTTATTATTCAATAATTTTTTTCAAGGCTTTCATACCAAGAATGGGAAGGGGCATTAAGATTTTTTCACAATTTAACATTTTTTAGAACAATTTCAATTGATAGAACAGCAGTACTGGTGTTACCTAATAAGCACTACTATGGTCAGAAAAGTCAAAACATAAGATGATACATGGATTGCAGAATACAGTTTCGAAATGTTTGGTATGCAGTGGAGATAAAAATGTCTATAGTTTGGTTTTGTGCTCAGTGATAAATATCTCTCGAATTATAAGCCAGATGTGGGTTTTTGTTGTATTTCAAATGGATTAAGTTTTTTCCTGTCAATCAACTGAAAGACACACCTCCCGGAAATGAGCCTTCCAAGTTGGTCATTCTTTTATTTGATCATTTTTGAATAAGCTAACCATTCAGTTATTAAAGCTGTTGAGGTAAGTTGGTATACACCGTGGGATGCCTGCATGTGCTGTCACTACTAATTAGTTGACCTCTTAATGCAATAGTCCAAACCTACATGGAATGTGTTACTGCGGTTTACATCACTCTGCAAGCAAGCAATATGTTTTATAGCAAAGACCACCAATTGGCTTAGGTCTGCCAAGTTTTATTGCTCAAACACTGCGAATGATCAAGAGTTAAACACAATGTAACTAAGTCCAACTGCAAGAAGGTGTCTTTGTAATTATCTAGAGAATTCAGAATAAAACTTAACTCATTGTACATCATGAAAATTCTGTCTGTCAAATGTTTTTGTAAATCGGTACACTGAAGGGAGACTTACTAATTCAGCAGGGACAGAGGGTGTCTATGTCCTTCTCCAGAGAATTTACTGTTTGTTGCCCCTATTGGTGAAATGCAATTTGCAAAAAGCTGATTTAAAAGCAGTCTATATGTAAGTCCATTATTTATGTCTGTGTTAACATAATTACTATTTCTTAATACTTTTTTTGCAGTGTCTGAATATGTTATGAAGATGTCATCTCACTAACAGGAATTAACAAAAACTTTTTTTTTCTTCAAAAAAATACTTCTGGAAAATGTTCAACATTACAACATTGTACTTAAGTCTTGCTTTCCATTTCTCTGTTTCTTTCTGGAAGAGGAAAACTTGATTTGTTTTTCTCGTTGTGTGCTTTGTAAAGATGTTAAAAAGAAGTTCTTTTCTGTCAACACCACTGTTCATTTTTGGCTAACATTCCCTAAAATTACAAATAATTCAGACTTTCTTTTGTGCATTTACAGTATTCTTTCCGTGTACTTCATTGAAATAGTACTCATGTTAAGAAGTTTCTTGAACTCTGAAAAAACAATATTTTTACATGTTTCAAAGGTCTGTCATGTTATTATTAAAGGAAATCTGAAGACTGCTCTTTAAGTGTTCCTGTTGTTGTGTAATTTACCAAATTCCCAACATCCTTCTGTAAGATTGTAATCGTTGTTTTTTTTTTTATTAAAGGCAAATATACAAACTTTGTGATGTTCTTTAATTGCCTTTAGAGTTAGCTATGCTCTGCTGTCTTCGGCAAATTTTTTCTTTAGCTCTGACAATAAAGCTACATGATCAGAAAAAAAGGCAAACCAGTATTACTCTTACTACTTTTGTTCCCATTTGTAATTAAAGTTCTGGCAAACTAACTGTATTCTTAAGACTATATCAGCATGAAAATTCATACACTTGCTCACATGTATCAGGGCTCTAAGTTCAATTTTCTAAAAAGTCGCCTATTGGCCACTTTCAATTCTAAAATGGTTGCCATAAAAAAAGTTTTGACCCCCTCAATTTGATAATTTGACCATGTTTTACACACTTTTCTTTTTTTTTTCCAAATCTGTTGGTGGCCAATTAGCAACTTAAGTTGAAATTTTGGTTACCAAATATCTTTTTTAACTCCCAGTGGTGACCAAAATGGTTGCAACTTGGAGCACTGTGTTTGTTCAATATCAACTGGTTTTTATGATGTAGCACATCAGAGAAAGAAAAATTCAAAAGTAAACAAGACATCACAATTGCCAAAATGATTCAGCTCAATAAAAACCAATTTCATGGAAGGAGAGTAAACAGATTTCAATAAATTTTAGAGAAATTTGTATTAAATAATGGAGAAATAACCAGTAGTGGCAAAATTTCTACTACACTTATCATAATCTGATATCATAAATTATTCAGTTTTAATAGGATCTTTAGAGCCATTTGTGGCATTCTTTTGAACAGCCAATTTCTGTCCTATTCCATACAAGTATGTAGCAAGCATAACTAAACCAGCCCCAGATACAAAAGGCAAACTGAGATTAAACTGGAATAAATAAACTGATACAATACAAGAAACGACAATTGATACAGCTGCTGCAAAGCCTTTTAGAATGTTATCAGCATACTTAACTACAATGCCAACTAAAAGACCTCCAAATGTCTGCATTGCAATAATTAGCCAGACAAGTTTGTGGTAACCAAAGAAAATGCCTTTTTCTTTGATCTTACTCCCATCATTGATATACATGCCCATGGTGCCAATAATGACACCAAATATGGCCAACTGGAAGTTCCTGGCCCACAGAGGTGTCGCAGTTCCCTTGAGGGTCTTTTCAAAGTACACACCTAAAGAAAGAATGAGTGTGAATGACAAAATATTATATCTATTCTAAAGTTAATTTAAAACAACTTATTCATTGCTCAGCAGTCAAATAAAAAGGTCACAAGATTAATGGAAAGGATTCTCAATTCAGGAAGCTACTGATTGTCAAACAAATTCTCCGTGTCAATACCATAGTAAACTGTAAAGAGAACAATATGGAGAATAAAAATGAAAAACTTATTTTTAAGGTTTAAAGGGTTAACATCATCCTTCTCCTACAAAATTTCCTCATACCTGCAAATCCAGAGCACATACTAGAAGCTACAACTGCGGCAAGCCCCAGTAGAGGGTTGTGTGTTTTAGACAAGGTGTTCTGTGTCGAGAGCTTTTCCTTCGAGCTTTGTGTCACAGGACCATTAACGGGCTGTAGCTGAACAACAGACACCCCAACAAATAGCATAAACAGAGACAGCCACTGAACCCTATTAATTGGTTTACTCAGCATAGCAATTGAGAAGAGTGCTGTTGTCAGAATCTTCAACTGATAAGATACCTGCAGTGGGGTGGATTGAAAGCACATATGTGAATTGTTCTTCTTAACTAATCAGATTTGATTTCTGATCCAAGATCAAGTGGGTTTCTTTTAACTAAACAGAAACAAAAAATCTACCCTTACATCATTAAACTTTGTGATGAAACACTAAATAAAGTGGTGAAAGATCGACAAGTACATTGTATATAGCATGTACATTTCAACTGAATTTTAATAATCCAGGATTTTTGTAATTAAATATTCAGTTTGATGGAACTTTTACAACTGAGCCAGAAATTCAATCAGATTCTATGAAATAACTTACTGCTATACATTGCCATGAATCACAATTTTAGCAAAAAGATTGCTTGCTACTCCTTGAATATTTTCCCATAGAAACCAATCTAATCAAATGAATGAATGTGGAGGGAGGAGTGTTTGGATTTATAATCTTTTTTCTGGATTTCATGAAAAACAAAAGCACAAAAAAAAAAAATGGGGAAATCTTCATGAATCCAAGATGAATTTTACCATAGAAAGGAAACCTGAGTCTTCCATGAGCTTTTTTCTTCATAGATGTGTACCAGTAATCTGTATGGTAGGCAACCTTCTAAAACAGGCAAGGCCTTTTCTTCAAATTTATTTTTTAAACAAATGTGACCACTGAGAAACTTCGCATGTTGTAATACTAAGTACCTGATATGTTGCAGCATCTAGGTTGGAAACTGCCAAATACAGTAGATTATTTTGAACAGTGTAAATGCAAGCAGGCACAAGCATCTTTGCCATATCCCAAGGATGACCAACACTAACAGAATATAAATACTTTATCCACTCAACTATGCTGCGTTTTTCTGCCAGCAGAATCAGCATGGTTGTAACTACTTTCACAACCTCTGTTATCATCACTGCTGTACTGGAAAAGTACATGTCACCAGGCAGTGTCCGTGTGTATCTCATAGTTAATATGAGAGAAGCATTTTGAACTGTCAGGATTATAAGACTCCATGCTTTGATACCCCACTGGCTGCCTGTTTAAGAGCAACACAACCAAAGAATTAAATAAATAAAGGGGGTAAGTTTCTAAAGAAACTGTGGTGCTGCATCAGCGGGGGTGACTGAGTTGATAATGTAAATTGACCATTGTAAAGAGATTCAAAGCTGATGTTTCGAGCATTAGCCTTTTGTTGGAGCAAAAGTGAAGAGAGAAATTGATAAACTCTTACTAATGACTCCTTCTAAATACCAGTGGATGGGTTAATGCCATTAAAAGTAAAAAAAAAATAATTTTTTTTTGTACCCTGGGTCCTAAGGGCAGCATTACTGGCTAAATTCTAAGAACTGAACTGTACAGAGATCAAATCATAACATAAGGATGTCTGTGCTCTACAATTTGACAAAAGAGTTTGGATTCCTCAATATCCCTTCCTAAAATGTAAGTTAGCATGTCAGTGGTTTGTTAACTCTCTCACTCCAAGGAGTAACCAAAAAGGAAGCTCTCCTAAGAATATCTGAACACTTTCAAGTAGAGACATGACGACAAGGTAAAAAAAATCAAGAGGATATAATTTGTTGAACTCCTAATTCTCAAAAGCAAAGGTTAAAAAAATCTTTGGTACACAGTGCAGAAAATCCATATTTTAACTCTTTATAATCAAAGGATTGAACACCAAATTTCATAACATATCAATCTCACCGCAAAGGTCATCTGGTTATCAAAAATTATTGGTAAAATTTCCGCACAGCCCCATACTATTGTAAAACAAATCTCTTTTCCCAATAGCAATGTATTATTTTTGTTATTGTTTTCTCTATCCAAGAAATGAATGCGTAATGTAGTATTTTACCAAATATTTTTTTCATGATCAAAATAGCAGCGACTGCCACTGTGGCTGGCCAACTGTCTTAAAAAAGTGAAAGAACCTAGTTAGTTTGATACATAAAATGTTAATTTTCCAAATTAATTAAACAGCACATGGCACCGGAAGTCTACTTAGTGAGTATGCTTTGAAGACCGAGTTAACAATGGGGAATTGTTGTGATTCACGAAAAAAAAAACTGGAGCTTTATTCTGCAAGTTTGATCAATTTTCTTTTGGAATACTAAAGTAACCAGTTTTTTTACTCACTTTTAAACGTGAATTAGAGACAGGTTTCGTTTTTTCGACAAAAATCATAACAAGATAGCAATGTTTGGCTTTTCAGACCCATCGATCGCGATCGCTTACGTAGACCATTATGTCACGACAATAATACAGCGATTCTCCCGGATAAAATTAAAAAAAGAGACGTAAAAGAATAAGAAATATTAAAAAAAAACTTTCGAAACACCATTGGATAACAATGAAACCTGGAGAAATCTCAAGATTCAATGAATACAAAGAATCACTCACTCACCGGCCACCATTTTTAAGACAAACTACAGCAGGTCATGCTGGGATATAAATGTATAACCTTCACAAGATACCGCTGGACGTAAATCCGTAATTAGAAGGCTCATTGGTTCAAATTTTGCAGATGAACTAACACGATGGCAATATTTACACAAATATTGAGCTAAGCAAAGGAAACCATCTCGATATCATATTAAACTACGGGCTTGTTGTAGTAGCTCGTTAAATCTGTCAAGTGTAGACATGAGTAATCGACCAGTACCCGGTATTACTACGTTATCAGTCAACGGTAAGAGCAACCGGAAGTGGGAACCTACAGTTGTTCAGCAAGGATTCATCGCCTGTCATGAAAATGTCTCGTCTTCGGTTCAAATGCCTCGAAAACATGCCTACGAAAAAGATAAAGGTTTGTTTTTTTTTTCCAGTTATGTTCCTCATTCTAGAAGAAGAGATTTTATTTCGTTTTCCTCAAAGAAAGCTGTAGCTGACATATCTGCAAATGTTACGGCTGATCGATGTTATAATGTGCTTGCATTATCTCTTGACATAAATTTTTCCGTCATTGAGGCCTTCCTCAATTAAACCGTAATCGATAGTTCTAATTGAGTTACCTCGAGAAAATTGAAGGTTCGACCGGGCAAGATTTCTGCACGGCCTCATACTTCCCTATCTGTCTTCTTAATGATAAAATATCTTGGATAAAGAAAACGCTAGTAAAGTCAATCTAAGATGCCAGCTTACAGAGACTAAGGCTTTTTATCAAGAATAATATGAGGTTATACGGAAATCTTTCCAAGGTTCGTTCTTTCTAAAATAAAACTCGCACCTCCAGACATAAACAGCACAGTCTCCTTCACTTACTCCGCCCTTATTACGTTTGTGGTCTGTCGCGGCAGGTAACAATTGGGTTGTAAAAACATTTCCTATTTGGGAAATATTTTGTCAAATTTCTGTGACATTAGTTTGGGTTTGGGGTGTGCGTTAAAAGTTTTGTGTTCTAAGATTTTTATTGGACTCTTTTGATTCTTGATGAGCGTCAACTTTTCAGTCCTATGGCTTGAAACTAATTAGAAATTTTTTGAAGACTTAAAATATAACCATGGATGGTGTGTGTGATGAAATTGAAAATTTTTGGCCTGATTCTTCTAGTTTTACAAACTGTGATAACTTGTAGCTACTCTAACAAGGTTTTTTTTTTCAAACTAAAATCTGTTAAAAAAAAAAGAATTCAGATCATTTTTGTTTACTTTTGTATGTGGTTACCAGCAGGATTGAAGTCAGATCATGGGAGTTCAAGGTTTTTTAAACCCTTTAATTTCCATGATCTACAGAGTACTTCTCCCTTCTAATGTCCCTACATTTCCTTATAAACTAGAAGAGAATATGGTCTTATATCAGGATAACACCAACTTACCAACAGGCTTATTGTGTGTTTTTATAACCTGCTATAAAAGATCATATTGGAATTGAAGGGAAAAATTACCTGTAGATAAGTTCTGAGAGTGAAAATGTTAAAATTGTTTGGATCACCATAGCATTCCTTTAGTATAAGCAATTTTTTTCTCAGTTTCATGAATTGCACTTGAATGATTAAAACTGTTTATTTTTACTTGTGTTTCAGATACTGTGCCATTTACATCATCCACGCTGTTTCGGGTCCTCATCTTTGTCGTCTTAACACTCCAAGCTACTTGCTATTTCTCTTTGCTTCGCTACTCCAGGACAAGATCAAACAAAATGTACTTTACTTCTACGGCAGTCTTTCTTGCAGAAGTTGTGAAACTTTTCACAACATTAGTGGTGATCTTTTTTCAGTGTGGAAATGTAAAAGCATTTACTTCATATCTCATTGACAACTTGTTTGTGGATCACAAGGCTACATTTCGTCTGTCTGTGCCATCTTTATTGTATGTTGTACAAAACAATCTTGTTTATATTGCAATGACACATTTGGAATCAACAACATTTCAGGTAATGTGGACAATTCTTTTTTGCTATTTTAAAAGTCTGTTTTTAAACTTTGCAGATATATTACCAAATTGGCAGCTTTAAATAGTATGGTAGAAGGCAATTGACATTTATGAACTCTTCAACTCCCAGGAATTATCAACATGTTACTAGACAAAAAAAAACATCCTTCTCTATTTCTTTACCAAGCTCAAAACTAACCATCTCTCTTATTTCTATTTCTACATTACGCTTTTGACTTTGTTGATCCTAGCAGTATGCAGAAGGTATGTCATATGAACTTCATGATGGACCTTGCTCACCATGGAGTCTCTGTGGCTCAGTTGTAGAGCATTGGAGTGTGGAATCCAAAGGTCTGAGGTTCAATTCCTCATGGTGACTCACAATTTTTTCTTTCTCCCATGCTCATGAAAAGACAAAAAAAAAATTCTTTCTCTATGTTACTAGTCTCTCTATAATATCAATGCATTATCCAGCAGACAAGTATGAGAATACTCAAACTTATCTGGTAGAAGTTGTTATCGTGATCTAACACCAAATTCTACCAGCTAAGTAAAAGGAAATGTGTAGCAGCTAGTGGAGAGAATTAGCAATGAGATCTTGAGAGTTGACCCTTTCACTCCTAAGATCTTGTTGACAATTCTCCTTACTGTCTGCCCTACAACTCTTATGATGTTAGTTTGGAGAATGTAGTCACGGTATTGAATCAACTAATAATCCCCTGATTAATACTTTTCTTTATTCTCATTACTTGTCTGCTTGATATTTTATTGATACTGTAAGGAGAAATTCTGTCTCGGTCACCCATGGGAGTTAGATGGTTAAAGGGTTAACCCTTTCAAAGGCGTGATTTCAGCTCAAACTATACTTCAACCTCTTGGTTCAATTACAATTATTTATGGAATCTGATCTGTGTTTTCTTCATTCTTTCTTTCAGATTACTAATCAGCTAAAAATCCTTACCACAGCTGTATTCTCCATTCTCCTACTCAACAAACAACTTACAAAAATAAAATGGATTTCACTTGTCCTCTTAGCTATTGGAGTAACAATGGTTCAGATTGACACCCACACATCAGTGGAAGCTGAAATGTCCACAACTAGTTCTGTAAAGAGCCAACAATCAGCTTTTCTTGGATTTACTTCTGTTCTTGCAGCTTCTATGGTTTCTGGATTTGCCGGTGTTTACATGGAAAAAATCTTCAAAACTGGAAAAAGAAAGCTGTTTTGGATCTCAAATGCACAACTGTACACTTTTGGAATAATTCTAAGCTTTTTAGGAGTGGCGTACCAAGATGGAGTAGAAATAGCTAGAATGGGCTTCTTTCATGGGTACGACATTATTGTTTGTCTGGTGATCTTGTTTGCATCAGCTGGGGGAATTATTGTTTCTCTGATTTTGAAATATGCATCGTGTATAACAAAAGGATTTGCCACTTCTTGTGCCATAGTTCTTTCGAGTTTAGTCTCTGTGTATGTGTTTTATTTTATTCCAGGTGTGTTGTTTATCTTGGGGGCTGTGTCTGTTATTGTTTCTGTATTGTTGTATAGCTGTTAGAAGCAGCAGCTTTGGATTTGATTTTTTTTAAATGATGATGGTGTGGAAAAACAATGTAAATGGATTGATGTCGGTATCTGGGCAACTGCAACCCTACTCCCTCCTCCCTTATAACCCAAGAACAGTCAACTGATAAAAAGTTAAGGTAAAAGTGGGTTAGGGGAGGGGACAAGTTATTCAGTTAATCAGATTTTGACATTGATCCCCAAATAATTTACAAATAATATTATTAATATAATAATAATAATAATGAATAGATCTTTTGTGGAGTGAATTCTACACTACTATTGTAGTTGTAATTTTCAATGAGGAGTAGAGGCTGAATAACTTATAAAGTCAAAAGCACTTTTATCATAGTTAGGAAATTTGTATAATTTGTAATTTTGTCAATAGCATGTTCTTGCCTCATAATTCCATGTGTACACTGATGGCATGTGTCTGCAATGAAGTGTTATGGAGGGAGTTTCTCTGTCCAAAGTTAACACACATTTTTTTAATTAACTATGCAATTGAAATGTTATGAAACAATATTGTTTCATTTGTCTTCGATGTTTTCATCAAATTACTGTGTGTAGCAATTGGGAAGTTTGGAGAGCACTTAACTGAGGAGCTGCAGTTACTCTCAGCCGTGCTATGAGTAATGCTTTTACATCTTTTGTTACCTTCAAACTTCCCATGGGCTTCAAATCTGAGCCAAAGCAACAATTTTTATGTCATAAGAATCATTATTGTTGATGTACTGGGAGGTACAGGATTGGACACCAAGGGTGAATTAATTACGTTTTTAAAATATTGGTTTGTGAGGTTTGAAATACATTAACATTAAAGAAAATTGTTTGGGTCTCAGGAAAATGAATGTTTTTTTATCTGAGACTAAATATTTGTTGAGTGAGAACTGTGACTTCAATAAAATGAAATTCCTATATTTTATGGAAATTTACAAAAATTGCAATTGGGTGTTGATTAAAAATTCATGTTGTGTGTCAGTCAAAGTTTTCAATTTGCAGAAAATTCTCATATCACAGTGTGGCTGTTTATGATAGTAAATAGTAGCTAGCTGAAAGCATAAATTTATGTAATTTTGGATAGGATATTTTTGGAAGGGGATTTAGTGGTTTAATTGTGTGTAGCTAAATTTTGATCTTTGACAATATTCTATTGGGTTGCAACTTGCTACAAAATGATGTGAAGTATTTTTATTAGTCATGTAAAAAAGGGATTCAAAATCATTGTATCATGTATGGCAGGTGGGTTCTGATAGAGAGAATTACATAAAATATAGATTTTATGCAAAACAGCCTATTGGTTATGTTTCACTCTAGTTTCACTTGTAAATATTTATTGATACTCAGTGACTTTTTCTTGACAACTCATCCAGAAGACTGGAATAAAGTTTAATCAAACAATTCCCTTATCCTCCCCTCCCCCTCCAGTTCCTGAAGCCTGAACTTGTCACACAACCTCATTTACTTTCGCCCTTTTCACCGTAAGATCAGAATGCATATTCTCCATACTGTTCCCCATACATTCCCTAAGGTGCTGATGAGGAGAATTTGTTTCATAATCCAGAGCTTCTCTAGTTGGTGCTATTCTCTTCATTCTCATGACCTTAATGTGTGATTTGGGGGTGATATTGTAAGGAGAACTTAGATGCTGGTCACTTGTAGGAGTTAAAGGGTTAAACCTCAGAGATGGTTTGTTCGTGTATAGCATCAGTATATCAATACCAATTAAAAACTATTCACGGTTGAACATTTTTTATTTGATTGTATCAAAATTATCCAATATATGCCACAACAGAGATCAGTTGCTTAACCTAGTGGAGCTTTCTAGTGCCGACTGGCTCGTCCCAGGCCTTCCTGCACCGGTTTACAATCCACTGATGCTCTTTTTCATCTGTGAATTAAACAAAATGGTGCATGCGTGTTAAAAAGCATGAAGTACAGGGTGCATTTGTTCAAAGGTTTAAATAAAATGCCTTGTCCATCAGGTGAAGTGATTGATTGATTAAGGCACTTGTACAACCTACCCGTGTTGCGTAAGAAAACAGAGTCGTAGTTTATCACCGTGCGTACCACAGGGTCATAAAATCCGTCTCCACAGTCATACATTCCTTTAGGTATGGTTTGGGGCGGATCCATATTGGTAAGCTGGGAACGACCTGGAAGCGTAAGAAATGAGCCAATCACAATTTTAATTGGACGACTACGCCTGTATTTTTTAAAATCCATTATTACAACAATATTAACTACAACTATGGCAATGCGGACTTCAACGAAGAAAAAGGAGCTCGCAAACTGAATACATCCTTCCTATCATGGCAAGTGAGAAAGAGGAGTAGCACGGAACAGAAAGGTTGAGGAAGTGAGTTTGGAGAAATATATTACTATGACGTCAGACAGATGTCACTGGTGACATAACCTTAACACCATACCTGCCGGTTTCAATCCATTCTCCAGCTCAGACTTGAAAACTCTGTTATTGTCACCGTCGCAGTAAGCCCAATTTTCGATTTCAAATCGCACATCATCCTGAAACTCGAAGAAACCCTTTGTAGAAAAAAAAGGTAAAGTAAGGTCAAACGAGAACCTGTCAAAATGTAGAAAATCTTTTTTTCACGCGCGACGCGCTAGATTTCACAAATTACCCAATCACGTCAAAGAACTCCAACTTTGACATTGGTAAACTGACATGGACTTTTTTCGCGTTTTTAGTTACTGCAATTGACGAGAGGTAAAAAAAAATGATTCATTGACATGGAATTTGTTTACCTCGACTACCCTGCCCTTTTCGAATTTTCCAGTAAAATGTACTCCTTCACGAAACTTTAATTTTCCTTCGCCATGAAACCTGTGGATAATATCATCGAGTTAAGATAATAAATATAAGTCCACTAACTCATGCCTTGGCTCGATTTACGCCGCTCTTTTGCAATCGAATCCGCTCTTCTCTCTTCGGGAGGTACGCATGCTCCTTTCGCGAGCAGCGGCTCGTCATCAAGATCAAACTTGACGCACACCTCATAGAGCAAAGTGCCATTTTTTTTTTGTCATGGCCGCAACTGCTTCTGTTATTATTAATATATATTTGTTTTGCTTTGATGATGATGATATTGTAATAGTGTTAATTAAATAAATGGCGGTCAAGATATAGTGTTATAAAGGTCAGTCAAATATTGGTTTTGGACACCTGGGCTCAGTTATATAAAGGGTGGATAACACTATCCAACGGATAAAACGCTATCCAGCGGATAAGTGATAGCAGAACGTATAGCATTATCCACCGGATAGATTTATCCAGGGCGTTATCCGATCTTCGAACAACCGGGGCCTGAAGTCTAGAAATGCACACGCGCTATCAAAATAAATGTAGAAAATGGCTAGTTTATATGTAGAACCTACATTCCGTCGACTATTCCGCCATGATATTCACTTCCAAAGTGATTAGGAAACTTGTAAATAGCTTCTGGATCATCCATTCTATTGAAGAGTGCAAAAAGTTACAGCGAACAGCTGTATGTAGTCTGTAGGAGTCAGTTTTGCAATTCTTAATTCACGTTTGCAGTCTATTTCTGAAAAACAAATCCTACCTTCCATTGAGGCTGCAACCCTCGTAGTTTGTCCCCATACACTGCATTTTCCCAAGATTTTTTAGTAAGAAAAAGAAAGGGATGTGACAAATGAGTGCCTTCTTTTTCAGTGATTTTCTCATCGAATTATAGCGTTGTGATGTCATTATTATTTAATTAAATAAAACTTGATTCCATGCGCGCGTTTAAGAATGATGAGAAAATATACCCTCCACCTGTTACTAAATGCCTATCTAGGGAGGAGAGCGTCCTTTCTCTTCTGCGCACGTACTCCTACGTTCGCGCCGCGCTCTCACCGAAAGAACGCCTGATCGCCTGGGATAATTGCTAAGAACACCAGTCCTACGAATTTATCGATTGTGGCTCAAAAAAGAATTTAATCGCCCATTTTCCATGTTGTCATTATTGTAATTAAGAATCATCAGCGTGTAGCAGTCTCTTGGAAAATCAAATGACGATAAGTCTGGTTCTTTGACTAAGTTTGTTTTATGAATATCTGATTTCGCAGCTAGGGGATTTTTAATCAGTTCAACTTCAACTGCGAAAATTAAAAACGGACCTCATGGGTCGATATAAAATTAGCTTGCATCTTCAGAAGTACTCAAGAGTTTGCATTCATTTGCCTTTACTCGGAGGCCCTCTGAGCGATAGGAAAAGGAGAAACGTGTAAGCAAGGACACCCAAAGATGAGCTCAATTATTTTGTGCAGGCTAATATTTGGTGCATATCTTTTCCCGTTAGTTGCACACGGTGAGTTGATAATACATTTTTAGTGAGTCTACAGTAGCTAAGGTTTTTAATTAACTCCAGTCTGTAAAAAGAAAACTTTATGGGGGAGTTTCTTCTAAAGATTAGCCGGTAGTTGATAAAAAAATTTTTACAGATTCGTATTACAATAAGAGAAGGTAAAAATTTTGTTTACGGCATCAACTACGTACCAAAGATTCAAAATAATGACAGCTGCATTTCAGTATAACCAGTAACAGTTTAAAAGAAGAAAAAAAGTCATTTCCTTCTCCTAACAGTTTCTTTCATTAGGAGATATCAATATCGCTCTCGTTATTTGTTCCTATGATATATGAGTAATAGATAAAGTTTGTAATAATTTTCAACTTTCCAAAAGAATTAAGTTTGTTTACGTAAGGAAAACAACTTCCTTTGCGAATTCGCCACCGCAAGTGATATTTCCTTATCAAGTTGTGGTTGAATTAAAAGCGAGTGTTTTGCTAACCAGTATTGTCATTAAACATCGAAAAAGAATAGCTGAAATGCATTTACACTACGTACGAATTCTAAAGCCTATAAGTTTACAGAAATCTTATTTAATCTTTGGTATTATTACGCTCAGCGAGAAGTTATTTGGCTCACGGTAACAAAAGGGAATGATTTAGCAGGAAGTTAGTTTAGACTAAGGCACCGCAGAGCTCCATCAGGAAAACAATTTCCAATCCACACTTTTTTTCCTTATGAAGGATAAGAGACAGATAGACAGAAACGGTACAATGTCAAAAGCTGGATTGTATATTTATAGCATTGAACATTGTTTAACGAAATGGAGGTAACTTCGATGTTGCCTAGACATATTGCAAAGAAAATATTTTTTTAACAAAAAAAACACCTTTTGTCAAGCATTTATGGAACGAGATTTTGTCATCAAGAATAGCAACGGCAGATGAAGCGATCTAAAAATTACATATACGTACCCTTAGTTCACGTAGGTATGCCCTAATCAGAATTGTTACCGATTAGGATTAATTTTTCAGAAGTCTTTTCGAGAATTTGTTTAAGAAGTTCTCTCAACTTTATTTCATTTCTAAACTGATTCGCTACCACACAATGAAAAGTTGTCTTTTAATTTCTTTTTTGTTTGTTTGTCTTCCGCTTTTAATAAAAACTTGATACTGGCTTAAAATTCAATGCTCTAAAGCGGAACCGCTGAACTGACTTATTTCTGGCAAAGGTTGAGTATGTTTCAAGAAAATTGGCAAGGAGTCAGCCATCAACTGAAAAAAAAATCGATATGTCAAGATATCGTAACGAACGTAACATTTTTCTTCATATATGCATCTGAAAAATTCCAGATATTTGGGAAAAGACGTAGATAACACGCTGTGTTTTTGTTTTTCATTTCCAGGTTCCTCCCCGAATGAATGTTACGAATGCTTCACCCATACGTCATGGGAAGACTGCTTCAACAAAACAATTTCAAGAACTTGTGAACGGGGTGATTATATGTGTATAAAAGGCAAGATCTCATTCTCAAAAAATTCCAAGACAGAGCACATATTCTTCAAAACCTGCGCAAACGGGAATGAATGTATGACTTATGAGAAAGATGGAATCCAGGTCCCTACATGTCAGGATAAGAAGAGGCAGGGTTACTCAGTCGAGTGTTCGGTCACGTGCTGCGAAGATGACAAATGTAATGGTGCTGTGCAGGGACAAAGGGTCAGCGGTCTGTTGATGTTTGTTTCATGCCTACTAGCTGCTAAGAAGTTGATATGGTCATAGTTAATGATAATAACGTGTTATGTCACGAGAAAATACTAAGTAGGTAACTGTAGATTGACAACGAAGGGGCGGGTCCAAGAATTAGTAATAGAGGAATCCAATTTTTTTATCCTGAGCATACAAGAAAATTTTCACTTCGTAATCATAGAAAAGCTAAGATTTATTGCGAGACAAGTAAATGTGAGATATTGTGTAGTAACGTAACATACGATCCTGTCGTAGTATGAATCTTAGTATTAGACAATCGGTAAAAAACCCACAGGTCTGATGGGAAGGATTGTTCGAATTCCCGGATCGACCCTCCTCCTGGACCCGTCATTTAAGTGCACCAAACAATTCAGATTTTGTGGCGTACTTTTTCCATTAGAAGTGTATATTTTTTCTTTCACAGCATAAAGAATACTCCATTCACACCAACAAATCATGTCTGGTTAAACCGGGTTTAACTGAATAAAAATAAGAAACAGAAATGAAACACTGAATTTTCCATAGGTTTCAAGTCGTCACTTTTTTTTTTTTTAATGTGCCTCAAGTAGCCTATATGAAAAAGAAAACGAATTTAAATCGTGTTTAACAAATCAAACAGCTTTAAAACATGTTGAGGCTTTGGTGTGAAAGAGGTCGAAATAACTCTAGGGCTAACTTCGAACTGAGTTTCCTTGCGTCTGAGAAAGAAGACTTTTCCTAATAAGTTGACGTTTTGTAATTTTTAAATGCATCAATTTTCTTACGGTTGTACCTTAACATTAAGCAAAAATACGGTACTATCGAAGAATTCAAGCCTTTCATTTCTAGTTGGTGATCCTGTAGCGAGTTAAGAGAAAAGTTTATTACAAGTATGGCGATCAAACCAACAACAACAATAACAACCAAGGACCGAAGGTCATTATTTGATGGACAAAATAGATTATATTCTGTTTTATATTTTCCAGTTTTTTATTTTCATTTCATAAAAGCTGGGCATTGTAAACAAAAAGACACTCTACAGTTGGATTTGATCTAAGGGTATTCCTATTTGCGCATAGTGCTGATCTTTCTTTAAGAATTTCTTTTCACTTTGTTGTAATCATCACGTTTTGCAGGTTAATAAACTATACTGTCAATTTAGACAAATAGTCATAATTAATATAATCATCTTCTTGAGAATGCCTTGCATATCGTCGAAAGGGCCTGACTACGCATAGTGGACAGAGATGAAAAATATCTGCCCATGTCAGCAACTTTCGAGAGCTCATGCTTGAAACTATGGCAACGATATACTAAAATGGCGGAATTTTTCCAAAATTTTAAAAGCGGCGCGGTTTTTCCCTCGGTAAGACGCAAGTAGAGAGATTAAGCTTAAAACTTTCGCTACAGACTTTTCTTCAAGAGCGGCACAAAATATATTTAGCACAACATAACTGACATGCGCAGACGTTACTCATGATTAGCTCGGTCGTCATAGTGTAAACTATCACTTACGTCGGTTCTAAAAAGGTGGGGACACCTCCAAGGTTGTTTGAGCCCTCTTTCCGCTCGTTACATCCCAAGCCGAAGCTATTAAATCTGTTCCTCCGAAATAGATGCTGACTATAATATCTCTTTCCGAACCATTCCTCGTATCAGGGGAATGGATTACGATACTTCCAATTTCTTTCACGTCCTGGTCTGTAACGAAAATAAAGTCGACGTCTGACCTCTGTGAGGCGTAAAAGGTGTATTTAATTTCTGTTTCATTCGCATAGAGTGGACGATATCTTACAGAGATTTTCTCTCCGTGTCTGATGGTATCATTTTTCTTAACAATGCAGTGAAACAGATCTCTGCATTTCGCTTTACCATCAGCAAAGAATTTCTTCTCTGGTGGATGCAGACCTCGAACGAAATTTCGTGAACAGTCGACACCATAACATGCACCAATGATCCCTGATTCCCTCTTTGAATTCATTGCCTTAGCAACCATCATAGTACCCTTAACAATTGCAAGGGAGGCGTCACGATACGTCGTTACATCATGACGACCAGAAAACTCCCTCTTGAATTCTTCCTGGAGGTGAAGTGATTCAGCGTGTCCACCAACAAGAAATATCCTAACACCCTCTGAAAGCTGCGGTTTGCCGAGGAAAGCCTTCATTTCAGTTATTGCATCTTCTGTCACAGACTTCAAAAGAGTTTTCATGCATTCAGCGCACAGACAAAGATACTGATCATCCACTATTCTAACCTCCCCCTTACTGTAATGTTTCATGGATGGAGAGACAAAATCGTTCACGAAACTGACAAAACTGCCTGGCAATTGAATCTTTGTCTCTTTGAATCGGAAAGTGCGCTTCTTTGCTTCAAAGTTCTGAAAGATTTGGTGTAAATCACTTGGGTACAGCTTCTGATAGTCTTGAACTTTTTGCTCCCCAAACGTCCTTTCTAAAAGCTCCAGGAACATTTCTTCATGAACAGCGGTATTCGCAGGACGAGTCACCTTGTCGGTCTTAACGACTTTTCCTTCATTATGTTGCTCAAAGAGAGTCATTTCCAGGCCCCCTCCTGGTGAGAAATATCAATGTTATTCCCAATAACTTCTGTTTAAAGTTTTTAGACGTAAGTCAGAAGAGTCAACCTCCCTTGTACAACAAATGAAAATAAGCCCAATAATTTTTCTTGTGTATTTTTTCTTGCTCTGGTTGATTAAGAAAGGTTCTTTTTTTCAGTGGGATAAATTTAGTCGCCTACCCAGACCTTTCACGGCCAAGCGGTTGTACAGTAACACGGTAGGATCTGGGTACGAGATTAGGATGAATAAAGTTGGCACATAAATTTAGTTTGCCAGTGGAATGCCTTCTAATAAAAGCAGCAATGTTAAATATTTTGCGTTGAGTTGCAGGTCGTTAAAAACCGATGTTACCAAATTCTGACAACTCAGAATATATTGAGATGAGTACCTCCAATATCAGCGATTAAAACGGGTGTGCTTAGCTCTGTCTTTACACAAAATTCCAGGGCTGCTTCAGCTTCACTGACAATCATCAGCTGTCCTAAGTTACCACGTGAACCAATACCAGCCTATGGGAGAGATGAATGGAGATTTTCATTATCAAAAGCCTGTGCAGCACAGGGTGTGCCTGATTTGTCTGTCTTGATTCGCACCGCATACGTTGTAGTATGGAATTTACTGGAAATATCCACGCGCGAATCGTCTACGGTGTATCTTCCGTCTATACCTTTCGATAGGTTAGAAAAATTTTAAGGATTCTTCACGGGAACATAAACTGAGCTCAATTTATATTCTCTCGGTTTCTTTTAATCAACGTCTAACATAAAATCGCAAAAAAACTTCCCAGCAGAAATATAAATAACATAGAAGAGCAAAACTGTGTTCCCACAAAACACAAAGAGTTGTTAATCTGCAAATTGAAATATTCGCATAACTGTCTTGCCGCGCAATGATATGCGTTACCTCGTAAGCTGCTTCTCTCATGAACTGCTTAGATCTTCCCGTCCAAGATTGAGGTACAGTAAAAACCCAGTATATTTTTTCATCATCAATTTCATCTTCTCCAACCTCTCGCCTTACACAGGCCACTGCTTCATCCTTGAAGAATTTGATACACTGTGCGATAACTGTTATGGCTCTTATACTCTTTCCGTTTGCTGCTTTAAGGGTACAGTCGAAGTCTACGATCTACGAACAATTTAGAGATTACCTTATCATGGCAAACTAAAGAAACCTTTGTTTATACTTCTAATGCAGTTGATGACAAGTTTGTTAGATTCTGTTATAGCTGGCCGCCTAATCTAAATACGTTTCCAACAAGACCTCTATGCAAGTCACTTTTCAGATTTAGCTTGTGAATTAGAACTCTCGTTCCCAGAGTCCTCGTCTTTCTTTCGTAGTCTTGAGTGCGAACAAGTCACTCTGGTAAGGAGGATGGTAACAGAGGCGCCCTATTTATCTTAGCGCAAGTGATTCAGAACGGCATAACTGAACCGGGTAACGCGCGCGAAGATCAGAGGACACTGGAAACGAGAATAGTGTAAGAGGCACTCCATTTATCTTGGCGCAAGTAACTAAAAACGGCATAACTGAACCGGGTAACGTGCACGAAGGTCAGAGGGCTCGGGAAACGAAAATGGTGTAAGAGGCGCTCTATTTGCCTTAGCGCACCGATTAAGAACGGCATTGCTGAACGAGGTAACGCGCACGAAGGTCGGAGGGAGCGTGTCTTGTCCCTGGCTCGCGTGTTACCCACGCTCCCTCCGTATAAGGAAAGGCGACTTGGTAGTCCCTTTTACTTACCTTATCACTATGCAAATCTCTCTTAAAAACCTCAAAAAACAACATGTCTTGTGTTTCGTGGGTGCTTTGAAAATATGCATTCCATTCCAACGCTTTGTACCCAAAGGCGTAGAATGAAAGGTCTGGTTTGAGAAGCAAGCATGTAGGGGTCTTGCTCGTTCGATGACCAAATTCATTCACCCAGTCACTGTTCACGAAAATCGCGTCTTGACTTTGGTTCGTATGAAGTGTATAGGCAAAGCCACTGGAAACTGTTCCAAGATCAATTGCAACCGTGGCGACATATTGATTTTTGGTACCCAAAAAGTATTCTTTAATTCCTAGTAAGAAAAAAATCAAAGTGACACTTTGGTGAACTCTTGGTTATTACGTGTATAATAAAACTGTTTATTTCATCGGGTCATCAGAAGTTTAAGGTTGCAAAATAGACTCGATAAAAATGAGTACGCTCATGAGTAATCAGTTGCAAAATCCCGATTGATGGGAAAATTCGCGTCACACCTCTGGCACAAAATTAGCCGTCATGTCCATCAAAGTCCTCCGCGATTGCAACACCATTGTCTCTCCTTCCAGGGCCAGTTACTCCATAGGACCTAGTTACGAGGTTGACTCCGCCATATTTAATATAATGCGTGCTCTCCCCCAGACTCCTAAGACCGTGCTAACGCTACTAAATTTGCATATCAAATTCCTACATCACTCGTTCCGATGCTTGGCAGAGGAAAAAGTAACAAATAGTTCATAGTAATGAATAGAGTAATTTTCAGATAAGAAAAGATAGGACAAGAGAGAAATGTAATACCGAGAACACAATACTCTCGTGCAGTCCAGCACGCTAAAACATTGTTGATTGAAAAATTTGATTATCTATCAGAATTGGGGAAAGAAGCATTTGCTCTAGAAAAGCTAGCAAAATAGGTCATTTCTGCCTTTGCCACTGTCGTTACCCATCATGCTTAGCTTCCGAGCGAAGTCTCGTTACCGCTGCTGTATTTGAAATGCATGTCGCGGGCTTCGCGGGAAGAGCTTTACTACTGATTAAAGACGTCAACTTTTAATAGAGGTCTAGTTCGGCATCCAGTCATTTCGTGTCCATGCCACGAACGTTTTGTACACAGACAATCCATACCCAAACTCAGATGACTCGTACCCAGCTAAGAACATTCCTAACCAGCAAGAGATTACAACTTTATACCCTCATGGACCCAGTCAGTTGGGAAAAATGTAATATGACTCCTGCCGGCCTTTTTCTCAGAATACGCGGCTGTACTTTTCGCAATAAATCTTTGAAGATTTCTAGGTTATTTTTAGGTTTGGTTATAAAGGAAAAATTTCCACTCGCACTCACTGAATATGGGCAGCACCACAGTTTTGTTAGAAACTTACCCTTATCATGAAACAAATTGTTTGCAGTGATCAGCGAGGATGTGACCTCAATGTTAATTTGCGTCAGAAGTTTCACTTCAGAGAATCGTCGATATCAATTGTTGGCTTATTACGTCTTGGCCAAAATCTGCGAGGGAAAGTTTGACTTCAAGCAAGAAATCCGGTTTGGTTGATATATCGTTTTGATTTTCACTAAAAAACAGCTGCGTTAAAGGAGCTGCGCTAAAATTTCACGCTTCTAATTATTATCGCGTAATTTCCGGCTACGGATCGCGACAAAACGTTGATCAGTTTGCGAATTAAAAGATAAACAACACCACAAAACAGCTTACTAAAGATAGAAAACCATTCATAACAGCACCTGTTAAAAAGTGAGCCATATTTCGGGAAATTTGCAGCAAAGAGAGTCGATGCCTTCGCTTGCTTTCAATTTCTCATAGAGATCACTCCACGACAGAGCTTTAGATTGGCAGTTCCCGCTTTTCTGAGAAAAAAGGAAGTGTTAGTGGAGCTCCCTGAAAGTTCGCCCTCGTTGTCACGCGTTCAACAGCTTAAAACTTAAGAAATTAAAAGTTGTTTGTAACGGCAAGTAAAAAAAAAAATGGGTGTGGGGGGGGATGGGGTAAAATTAATGAAAAGCGGGTTCATAGGACAACGGATGCAACAAGAAGGAATTTCTGGCCTTCAGGTGTCCACGAATAAGCCGGAAGTCATTTCTGCGGCACGAGAGGAACAGGGCCTAAGCCTTCCGTGAAGGCGCATTGTGGGTATAGAGCTATGAGTATTTAAAGGTAACTGGTCAAGTCGCACGAGAGTCATCTCGCCCGAAGTCATGGCGCCCGAAACCTGAGTCATGTTGCCCGAAATTTTAGTAATGTCGCCCGAAAAAAAGTCAAGTCGCCCGAAGAAACAAATACTAAAAAGATCAGAATTTCAGACTGTTAATAGGCAATAACGTTGGAAATTTTTTATCACTAAAGCACTCTTTGTTTCCGACAACCCTATGAAGATTCCTAAAGCGTTGTTCGTTCCTAACAACAAAGGGAAACGTTGTTCGTCTCCAACGACAAAATGTAGCGTTGTTCGTTTGGTATGTGATCGTTTCTTACTCAAGGACGTTTAGTAAGCTTGAGAAACTTTTTCTTGGTTTCTAACAATACCATGAAGACTTTGACTACACAGAAATCGATCGTATGCTCGGAATTGAAATATGTTTGAAAACGATTCTAAAAGCGTTGTTCGTTTCTAACAACAAAGGGAAGCGTTCTCCATTTCTTACAAAAAAATGAAGCGTTGTTCGTTTGGTATGTAATCGTTTCTTACTCACGGACATTTCTTGTTGCCTCTCTAACCACAATGTTTATCAGTGGTTGCTCAACTCTCGATTTGTTTTATTTGACTTATTTTTTATTTTTATATAATTTAGTTTGATGATTCATTTGATATCCTACACGCTGGTGTTCGACCGAACCGTGCAAAATTTGCAGTGAAGCCGAAATCTGAAAGCTCATGGTTGAAGGCACCCAGCGGGATTCTTTGATGGGTAGGGAGGATAGAGGAGACTGAAACCACCAGACTAGCATCGAACTGGCACTTGGAAGCTACAGGGTTGTTTTTATTTTTCTCGATTTAATTTTTTTTAAGAAAAGAGAGC